GTCTAACCAAGGCAGAATAGAGGAATAGCATGACTATTAAATGGTAATATGTATTACCATTTAATAGCAGGTGAAGAAAGGTCAAGCATTGCTCCAGTTCCTGAAGGCTACCAGGGTGTGGTGAACCTTGCTCAAATAGGTAGTAATTACCTCTTTCGGCAACATCTATAAAGAGAAAGCATGTGGGTACATACGCCACAATACATATTATGGTCTCTTCCCTGTTATTAGTCACATCCTCAGCAATTAAAATAAACAGAAAGGGCTGCCAGCATTTAGTACGGCCCATAGACTTCATCATGCATGGATTACAGTCCTAAGATGAAGCAATTTAATTATATTGTACCCTCTCCTTGCCTCATACACACAACCTGAGCTCTGCTCCCTCCCTACAATTGCATACTAGTCCTATCTTCCCTACCATTTGCGATCTGTGCTCATGCATCGTTGCAACGGCACCTTCCCTGCATACAGAACAGTCGAAGACAATCATACCTCATGAATTGTTAATTTGAATCAGCTCAGCATCCTCTGAATGCAAACATTGTGTGTGTATGTGTGTGTGTGTGAGTGTGGGGATAGCTAGGCATATATCTGAGTGTCTCCTGGGTTTTGAAAAGCAGCCACCGCTTAATTGACTACACAGATACGCTGGGAGTGGGAAGCAAGGAACATCGATATCGGAGGGCATGAAATATCAGCAGGCAAAGCCAGAGTGTTGGGAGTGAGTGTTTGTGTGTATACACATGCACACATACAAGTTAAACACAACCTGGTTTGGAAATGCCAAATACAGAAGTTTGTGTAATATCTATCTGAAGGATGGCTCTGTCTATCTGAAGGCTAACTGTTGTTACTTCATAGTGAGAATTCTAAACATACTCAGAAATACAAGGGTTGAATGAAAAGTAATGCCTCCACCTTCGTTACTTGGGTTTGGATGGGAATATTTTAATAAATCAAACGCAGAAATAATCCTTAGAATGTGTTCTTTAACTACCACTATTTGCTTTTCCACATAATCACCAGACAATTGGATACATTTCTGCCAATAATGAACACGTTTTCTGAAGCCGTCACGGAAGAAGTCGACACTCTGTTTCCACAACCAGCATCTCACAGTTCTCTCAACCTGGGTATCCATCGTGCTCAGATCTTCCGATAGCCAAGCAGAGCAATAATGTGACCCACATGTTTTTTGTGAAATGCTGATTATGCTTGAAATTTCTCTCTGAGTGATATGGCGATCGTCCTGAATCAATCTGTCAACCTTTTGCTTGTGAAACTCAGTGGTTACTGTCACAGGACGTCCAACTCTTTGTTTGTAGCACAAGTCAGATGTTCCCATCTCAACATCTTTAAACTTACTCACCCAACGACGCACAATACTCACATCAACACAATCACCATAAACAGCTTGCATTCTCCGATAAATCTCCTTTGGGGTGACACCTTCTGCTGTCAAGAATTCAATGACTGCACGTTGCTTAAGTCACATTGACCGACCGTCTGCGAAGGGTTCCATACTTTGCACTTTAACAGCACAACTGTTCAATGCTAAGGCTTCCTGCCAAAATGGAACTGTAGAGGAGAGTCTACTGCACAAGCCAGTACCTGCCACATACCAGTACTGCCATCTGTTGAGGAGTGACGAAGGTGGAGGCATTACTTTTCATTCAACCCTCGTACTCTCATAATACAGACAATTTCCGCACATGGTAGGTTTTGTGGAGCTTTTCAAACAGCATAGTTTGTGGGTTGTTGTAGGTTTTTCGGGCTGTACAGCCATGTTCTAGAAGCATTCTCTTCTGACGTTTCACCTGCATCTATGGCAGGAAACACCAGAGGTTGTGAGGTCTGTTGGAAACTAGTAAAATTGGGTTTATATATCTCTGGAAAGTCCAGGGTGGGAAAAATAACTTGTCTGTTGGAGCTCGATGTGAATGTTTCAACTGGCCACCTTGATTAGCATTTGATGGCTTGACAGGTTTTTAGGTGTGGCTTGTTACTGCCCGGGGGAATCCTTTGTTGAAAGGTGATTAGCGGTCCCTGATTGTTTCTTGTCCGGAGTCCTCCTGTGTTTGAGTGTTATTCTTTGTTTTTTAATACTGGTAGCCAGATTTTGTTCATTTTCTTGTTTTTTTCCTTTCTGTTGATATTGTCCACATGCTTGTGGATTTCAATGGCTTCTCTGTGTAGCCTGACATGGTAGTTGTTAGAGTTGTCCAGCATAGTTTGTCTTCTGGAATATGAGCAGTTCAAGTGCATATGTGTGACTATTTAACTTGGAGACTGTCTTTAAAATCCTAGGAAAACTCAACTCCTTGGATTTGAATGATAGTGCAGGAAAGGGATTCCTTTTAAGCAAGTGGGATGCACTTACAATGTAGAGTTAATGTGGTTTGATCCAACTTTAACTGCTATGGCTCAATATGGAATCCTGGGAATTGTAGTTTGGCAAAGAAGGCTAAAGGCCTTGCAAAACTCAAATTACTCATTCACAGAGATCCATTAGATGGCTCATCCATCTTGCTAAGGAATCCCTGTGATGAGTTTGTCTTAAGCTTTTGCTGTAAGTTGGAAATGAATGGAAGGCAAACAATAACAACAAGAAATGGGGAAGGTCCTTGATTGCTTGAGATCCTGGAGAGCCATTACCAATCAGAGTAAATTACTCTTGCCAGGAGGAACAACCAGTCTGATCTTTTATAAGGCACCTAGACTGGATCAAGGTGAAAGTCTATAGGCACTATAAAGAAAGAGGGGATATCACACAAAGAAAGAATAAGGCTGGGCTACATTAAAAAGGTAAAAGTTTCACCTGACGTTAAGTCTAGTCATATCCGACTCTGGGGGGTGGTGCTCATCTCCATTTCTAAGCCAAAGAGCCAGCGTTGTCCAAAGACACCTCCAAGGTCATGTGGCCAGCATGACTGCATGGAGTGCCATTACCTTCCCACAGATGCGGTACCTATTGATCTACTCACACTTGCATGTTTTCAAACTGCTAGGTTGGCAGAAGCTGGAGCTCACCCTGCTCCCCGGATTTGAACCGCTGACTTTTTGGTCAGCAAATTAAGCAGCTCAGCAGTTTTACCCACTGCACCATCATAGATTCTTGGAAAGTGTATATGGCCATGTTTTGTGGGGGTTTTGAGAGATGTTGTCCAAAAGGGAACCCTCCCACACCCTGTTTTGGAAGATTATTTAGAAGAGGCTCATGCAGTTCTGAATTTTTCTTTGAAAGATATTATCTTTCTAGACACCAAGCTTGAATGGCCATCTGAAATCCAGTTCCAACCATTTTTTTCTGTCTTCAAAAGCCAGACTTGTGAGTTCAAAAGCAGAGAAATGGAAAATGCCCAGCAGGCATGAAGCCAGCCCTATCAAAAAGCCACACTGAGATGTGAATTCTTAGATCTTTGGAGACTAACTCCGATCTAAGAGGGCAAGCCAAGCTTTCTTTTCCAGTTGTTAAAACAGAGTCACAGACTAGTGCTTTTGCTTTTCCTTCTCCCATTCCCAGCAATGTCAGCATTGGTTCTTGGAAGTTGCTGAGATGGTTGGATGAGCAGGCATTGCTCAAGGAGACAGTGTTTCCCTCCTTCCTCAACAGCCAAAAAAGTATGTTAGCTTATATATGGGTAACTCATCGACAGGATTCCAACCATAGACTGCAATACAACACAGCACAGCAGAAATACCAACATGTGGAGTTATGCTATAACAGCACTATGCAACTCCTATGCAGAATTGAGAAACACATCCAATGATGAGTTGGTCTTGCAAAATGAGCAATGGCAATATACACTGTGCAACCACAATGCATATTTTGCAATGTGCAATGACTTCAAATTCCACACAGCTGTATAAAATCTACATTGAACTGGGTTATATGACAGTGTGGACACAGATAACCCAGTTCAAAGCAGATATTGTGGAGGATCTGCATTGATATTCTGGGTCATATGTCTGTGTAGAAAGTCCCCGAGATAGCGGAAAGAGAGAAGAGAAGCAGACTCTTGTACTTCCCAGTAGGCTCAGCCAAAATCAAACTGCAGCTTCCTCTTGCTTTTATGTTTTTCCTCATTAATAACTTTTGCCATTTTGACCAGACTTTGATGTGGCTTGGCCACACATATTCTATAAAATGTTGGAAGGTATCCACTTGGTTCAGTATCAGCATTTTCAAATAATAAAACAAAACTTTGGCAACTTTTTTCATTTGCATCAAGGCCCAGCTTCCACAGGTTGGGTAGCAATATGAAGGCATCGACATACAGAGATTAAGATCTTCTGGGGAGGCCCTGCTCTTGGTTCCACCTTCTTCGCAAATGTGATTAGTGGGGACAAGAAACGGGGCCTTCTCAGTGGTGGCCCCTCCACTCTGGAACTATCTCCCCAGTAATATTAGATCAGCGTTCTCCTTCCTGGCCTTCAGAAAGAAAACAATTACATGATTGTGGGACCATGCAGTGCAAAGATTAATTAGGGAATATGTGCAATTGACAATTTCGAATGGCTACAATTTACGATTTTGGATCATGTGATTTTAATATTTATACTAGAATATTTTAATGCTTTGTCTTAATGTTTAAATGTTGTTTGTGTCTTATGTTTAATGGCTTTAATTATTTTAATTCATAGTTATATGCTATTGTTTAGTTATTATGATTTCTATTTTACATGTATGTTGGCACTGAATTTTGCCATTGGTGTGTAATAAACCACCTTGACTCCCCCCAGGTGTGAGAAAGGTAGTATATAAATACAGTAAATAAATAATAAACAAATAATATTTTCCCCACCACAGACAGCTCTAAAGATTAGAAGAAAATGATAGTAAAAGGTGTTGCTTGTGAATGGCTTTTCCTTTCCCCGCCCCCCAAAAATCTCCAATATTAGTTGTTCCCCTTGCAGTCAAGACTATAGGAGGGGTGAACATGTTTCAACTTAGATGGCAGCCCTAGAATGGAGTTGAATGAATTGAAGGGGCTTACCGAAAACCTCATCTGCATCTTGGAGTTTGGAGGAAGACATGATGCAAATCTGGAGAGAGAATGAGAGAAAGACAGAAAAATAACCATCAGGGCCATAAATACATCTGGTCTTAAGGGTGAGAGGTGGACAGATTGTAGAATTATGGAGCCTGAAACCAGAATTATCTCATGTGCAGATTATTATGAAAAATCATTAATAATAATAATAATAATTTTATTCTTATACCGTGCCACCATCTCCTTCTCCCATCCCCAGCCATGTCAATATTGGTTCATGGAAGTCGCTGAGATGGTAGAATGAGTAGACATTGCTTCCCTGTATCCCACTCCTACTCAAACAGGTATATAAGTTACATGGCTGTTCACATAACACACTTCTGACTGGAGTGAGTTGCACCCCACAATTTGTGCAAAAATAGTACGCACTGACTTGCCGTTCAAAATACAAAAACAGTTTGCATACAATGCATGAAGTATCTTGCACTTCCCTAAAGTTTCAGGCAAAAACAACCTGCTGCAGCCTTTTCTGACTTGTCTGTTCTTTCCCATGAATAACTTTTACCATTCTGAACACACTCTGTTATTGCTTGGCGACATATGTCCCATCTGTGAAATGTTAGTGATTATGTGAGTCATGTGTTTGTTGACAACTTCATACCCTAACTGTATATTCTCAATCTGCCACCCGAAACAAGGCCTCCTGTCTGCTGGTAAATGTTCCTAACAGGTAAGAGAAGACCTTGGACAAGTTATTTCTGGGAGCTTTGATTCTCAGAATGATCTGGAATGATTCTGAGAATTGTGTGTCATGCTGGATGAGGGATTCGGGGAGTTGCAACTTGCAAGTCCAAATTTCTGTGCTTGGTTTATAGCTTACGCTTTAGATCAGGGGTCCCCAAACTACGGCCCGCGGGCCACTTCCGGCCCGCCAAGGGCCCTGATCCGGCCCGCGGAGGAGCGCCTCCCCCCCCCCACACACAGTGCCCCTCCATTGGCTGGCTCACGCTATCCGTCAGGCCCGATGGACAGCGTGAGCCAGCCAAGGGGAGCTGCTCCGCATGGCCTACTCACGAGTAAAGCCCCTCGCGAGGGGCTTTATTCGCAAGTAAGCTGCACAGGGCTGCTCCTCCCTTGGCAGGCTCACACTATCCGTCAGGCCCGATGGACAGCGTGAGCCAGCCAAGGGAGGCTGCCCCGGTGCTCCATGCAGTCATGCCGGCCACATGACCTTGAAGGTGTCTACGGACAACGCCGGCTCCTCGACTTAGAAATGCAGATGAGCACCACACCCCAGAGTCAGACACAACTGGACTTCATGTCAGAGGAAAACCTTTAACCAGGAAAATTGGGTGGGAGAAAGAACTCTTGTCTGTTGGAGGTAGGTATGAATGTTTCAATTGGCCACCTTGATTGCCATTTCATAGCCTGACAGTTTTTAGGGAGAATCCTTTGTTGAGAGGTGATTAGGTGGCCCTGATTGTTTCTTGTCTGGAGTTCCCCTGTGTTTGAGTGTTGTTCTTTATTTACAGTTATAATTTTAGAGTTTTTTAAATACTGGTAGCCAGATTTTGTTCAGACTAGAGATAGGAAGATTTCCCATTCTCTGCTCCTGGAATTACTGCCTAAAGAGGTCTAGAAAGAACCCCCTCTAAGGGCCCTTCCACACAGCAAAATAAGATATGTGCAATGTGCATTGGAATTTTTTTATTGTTTTTTTTTTAAAAAAAACTATAGTCCGGCCCTCCATCGGTCTGAGGGACAGCAAACTGGCCCCCGGTTTAAAAAGTTTGAGGACCCCTGCTTTAGATTGCCCATTAAGCTAAGTTTCCTTGGTAAGGAATAGATAAATGAAAAACATCAAATACAAAGTAAGAACAAATGAATGGCAAACAGCATTTATTAAAACCAAAATAAAAGCCAGCAGCAACCAGATGCCCACATGGAAGGGAAATAAATGTAGCCCATAATTATGATGTATTATGTTTGGATCAGTATGACCACCCACACCTCCGGTATCTACAGGGAAATAGGTTCTACAACTCTGATTGGATATGTGAAATCATGGGTAATAGCAAACTCAATGGAATGAATGACTTCCAGTGGAAGCATATCACAGAGCAGGCATGGGCAAACTTTCTAATTTGGGGGCTGCATGGCAGACCAGAGCAGGGTAAGTGGGCTGGGAGGGAGTGGGTGGGTTGACCCCTAGTCCCCTTGCTGCCCTTTCCTCCCCTTCCTCTTCTCTTTCAGAGGCAGAAAGTGAAGGAAAGACAGGAAATGTTTAGACCCCAAAAGGGTTGGCCTTGGTCGGGATGAGATGGTGGACGGGAGAGAAAAAGTGTATCATTTAGATTCCATATTGCCTACTCCTGCTATAGAATCCTAGAGCTGGAAGAGACCCCCAAGGGCCATGCAGTCCAACCTCCTGCCATGCATGAAGGCACAATCAAAGCACTCCTGATAGACAGCCTCTGCAGAAAATCCTCCACAGAAGGAGACTCCATTGCATTCCCAGGCAGCCTATGCCACGTGCCTAATCTTTTCAGTCAAATCCCCTTCCCTGCCATTTGAAGCCATTGCTCCCTTGTGCCCTGGTCTCTAGAGCAGCAGAATGTCAGTTTTCTCCCTCCTCAATGGGAGACCCTTTTAAATCTTGAAACATGGTCCTTATGTTCCCTCTCTACTTTCTCTTCTCCCAGCTAAACATCTCCCAGGAGGAAAGGAGGAAGGAAAAAGAGAAGGAAGAAATGGAGGAAGAGAAGGATTGAAGGAAGGAAGGCGAGAGAGGGACGGAGGGAGGAAGGAAGGAAGAAGGAAAGGGGGAAGGGGAAGGAAGGCGGGAGGGAGAAAGAGGGAGGGAAGAAGGAAGAGAGGGAAGGAAGGAAGAAGGAAGGAAAGAGAGAAGGGGAAAGAGAAGGGGGAAGGAAGGAAAGAGAAGAGAGGAGGAAGAGGGAGAAAGAGGAAGGAGAAACAAAAGGGAAGGAAGGAAGGAAAGGAAAGGAGGGTAGGAAGAGGGAAGGAAGGAAGGACGAAAGGGTGGAAAAGAAGGAAGGAGAAAGGGAGAAAGAGGGAGGGAAGGAAGGAAGGAAAAAGAGAAGGAAGGAAAGAGAAAGAGAGGGGGAAGGAGGGAGGAAAGAGAGGAGGGAGGAACGACAAAAGAGAAAGATGGAAGAAAGGAAGGAGAAGAGAAGGGAAGGGAGGAAAGAGGGAGGAAGGATGAAGGTGGAAGGGAAGGTGGAAGGGAGAAAGAGGGAGCTAAGCAAGGAAGAGAGGGAGGGAAGGAGGAAGGAAAGAGAGAAGGAAAGAAAGAGAAAGAGAGGGGGAAGGAAGGAGGAAAGAAAGAGAGAAGGTTGGAAAGACAAAAGAGAAAGATGGAAGGAAGGAAGAAAGGAAGGAGAAAGAGAGAAGAAAGGAGGGAGGAAAGAGGGAAGGATGAAAGGTTGGAAGGGAAGGAGGGAGGGAAGGAAGGAAGGAGGAAGAAAAGAGAGAAGGAAGGATAGGATGGTGAGAGAGGCAGGCCTGATCTGGCCTCTGGGCCTGGGTTTATTCATAACTGTCATAGCGTCATGCTGGAGTACCTAGAAAATGTCTATAGAAACAGCACGACTCTATGGACAACTTCTGGTGATAGCATAACATAGAACTGTCTGGAGGTCCTAGAAAATGCCTACAAAGGGCATATTCTGTCAGATGCAGGTAAATGATAAAGTGGGTACAAGTTTTACAGCTCCCGACTCATACATTAAAAGCAAAACAGAATGAGCAGCATAAATACTTCTTTTTTAAAAAATTGAGAAAACCAGCAAGTTTTTAAAGGGCTAAACTGCCCAAATAACACAAAACATTATTCCTTCTATGCATCCTAAATGCTGTATTTCACCCCAATTTCAGATGCTGGTTTGATGGAAAGGGTGTGGAGGAAGAAGGAAGGCAAATGCCATGCAAACGTATGAGAAAAATAGATTTGGGAGTCTTAATGGCTCTCCCGGCTTCTCTCCCTGAATGGCAAGTATTTTCCGATTCCATCCTTGCATTGAAATAATCTGTCACTCAGCAGGGGCATCCACCTTGGGACCAGCTGAGACCTGCCTAGTCCACCACTCCGGCATCCCCATCCCCGTCCCAGTCCCCGTGTATGTGTGCATGTGTGTGTGTGTGTGTGTAGGAGGTGGAAGCAATCCTCCACATCTAACCCCACCTCCTGGCTTGACACAAAAGCTAAGTGCATTTCCTAAGGCTGATGGGAAAAGCCAGAGATCAAATGAGTCTGGCAGAAGGAGAGAAAGAGAGAGAGGAAGGGGGAGAAAAGCCCCATACATCTTCGTTGACAGCTAACTATTGCTTAGGCCTACCTGCCAGGAAAATAGGATGACCCAATGTCTAGATGAGAAAAAATGAATGGGGCTACAGAAATAGGTTTGGGGAGAATAGTAAATACAGAAATAGAGATACTGTCAGGAGTAAACAAAAGCACCATAAAAATGAGATCTGCTTGTCCATTTGTTTTTGAATGGTCCGGAGAAAAGGTGAAAAGGGAAAGTCTACAAAATACTTTCCATCTTGTCATTTAAAAAATCTAAACAGAAACAAACTCAGTTGGATCTTTCTATCTGAGTATCTTGGAATTTTTTTCTCATGTCTGGAGAGAGTTGAAAAACTGCAAGTCGCTTCTGGTGTGAGAGAATTGGCCGTCTGCAAGAACATTGCCCAAAGGACGCCCGGATGTTTTGATGTTTTACCATCCTTATGGGAGGCTTCTCTCATGTCCCCACATGGGGAGCTGGAGCTGACAGAAGGAGCTCATCCGTGCTCACCTCAGATTTGAACCTCCAACCTGTCGGTCTTCAGTCCTGCCTGCACAAGGGTTTCACCCATTGCGCCTCCAGTGGGTCTGAATGCTAATATCAAGGTCAATATAGGGTGCAGCAATATTGTGGAATTAATCCAGTTTGATACTACTTTGACAGCTGTGGTCCAATACTATGGAATCCTGGGAGTTGTAGTTTTACAAGGTCTTTAGTCTCCTCTGCCAAAAAGTGCTGGTGTGGC